TTGGGTCGTGGTTTCGTTTGCTCGGACTTTGGTTTGGTTTCTCGTTTTCTCGTGTTCTCGGCCCCTGGGTTTTTGGTCTCGTTTTCTCGGACCCTGGTTCGTTGTTTTGTGTTGTCGCTTTCTCGGCTTTTGTTTTTGTTGTGTTGTTTTTTCGGCCCCTGGGTCGTGATCTCGTTTTCTTATTTTCTCGGCCCCTGGGTCGTGGTGTCAATGTTCCTCGGACCCTTGTTATTTTCTTCGTTTTCTAGTGTTCTCGGCCCCTGGGTCGTAGGCTCGATTTCTCTGACCCTGGTTCGTTTTTTGCTTTCTCGGCCCCTGGGTCGTGGTCTCCTTTTCTCTGACACTGGTTCGGTTTCTCGTGTTCTCCGTATCTCGGCCTCTGGATTGTGATTATGTTTTCTCTGACCTTGGTTTGTTTTCTCGTCTTCTCGTTTTCTCGGCCCCTGGGTCGAGGTCTCGTTTTCTCGGGCTCCCGTTCGTTTTCTTGTTTTCTCTTTGTCTCGGTCCCTGGGTTGTTGTCTCGTTTTCTCGGCCCTTGGTCCGTTGTCTTGTTCTCTTGTTTTGTCGGCCTCTGGGTCGTGGTCTCGTTTTCTCTGACCCTGATTCGTTGTCTTGTTTTCTTGTCTTATCGTCCCCTGGGTCGTGGTCTTTTTTTCTCGGACCCCGGTTTGTTTTCTCGTTTTCTTGTTTTATCGGCCCCTGGCTCGGACCTTGGTTAATTTGTTTGTTTTCGCATTTTGTCTGCCCCTTGGTCGTGGTCTCGTTTTCTCGGACCCCGTTTCGTTTTCTCGTTTCCTTGTTTTCTCGGCTCCTGGGTCGTGGTCTTCCTTTTTTGTTTGACCCTGGTTTGTTTTTTCGCTTTCTCGGCCCCTGGGTCGTGGTTTGGTTTTCTCGGGCCATGGTTAATTTTCTTGTTGTCTCGTTTTCTCTGCCCCTGGGTCATGTTCTCGTTTTTTCTCGGCCCCTGGTTCGTTTTCTCGTTTTCTCGCCCCCTTGGGTCGTGGTCTCGTTTTCTCTGACCCTGGTTCGTGTTCTCGTTTCTTGTTTTCTCGGCGTCTGGGTCGTGGTCCAGTTTTCTCGGACCCTGGTTTTTTTTCTCGTTGTCTCGTTTTCTCGGCCCATGGGTCGCGGCTTCGTTTTCTCGGACGCTGGTTTGTTTTCTCGTTGCCTTGTTTTCTCGGCCCCTGGTTCGTAGTCTCGTTTTCTCGGGCTCTGATTCCTTTTTTCGTTTTCTCGTTTTCTCGGCTCCTGGGTCGTGATCTCGTTTTCTAGGACCGATGTTCGCGTTTTCTCGGCCTGGATCGTGGTCTCGTTTGCTCGGTCCTTGGTTTGTTTTACTGTTTTCTCGTGTTCTCGGCCCCTGGGTCGTTATCTCGTTTTCTCGGACCCTGGTTCATTGTCTCGTTCTCTCTTTGTCTTGGCTCCTGGGCTTTTGTTGTGTCTTCTCGGGCCCTGGCTCGTCCTCCCGTTCTTCTCGTTTTCTCGGCCCTTGGGTTTGTGATCTCGCTTTCTCGGGCCCTGGTTCGTTTTGTCGCTGTCTCGTTTTCTCGGCCCCTGGGTCGTGGTTTCCTGTTCTCGGGCGCTGGCTTGTTTTCTCGTTGCCTCGTTTGGTCGGCCCCGCGGGTCGTGGTTTCGTTTTCTCGGACCCTGTGTCGTTTTCTTGTTTTCTTGGCCCCTGGGTCGTGGTCGCGTCTTCTCGGGCCCTGGTCCGTTTTTGTGGCCCCTGGTTCGTTTTCTCGTTTTCTCGGCACCTGGACCGTGGCCTCGTTCTCTCGGACCCTGCTTCGTTTCTTCGTTCTCTCAGCCCCTGGGTCGTGGTCTCGTTTTCTCGGACCCTGGGTCGTCGTCGTCGTCGGTCGCGCGTCGTCCGTCGTCCGTCGTCCGTCGCCGTCTTCGTATGACCTCGTCCTCGTCGTGACGACCACGACGAGGTCATGCGAAGACGGCCACAATGACAGCGACGGCTGCGACAACGACGACGAGGACGACGACGGCGTCGTACGAAGACGTCGGAAACGACGGCGACGGCAACGACGACGGCGACGGGGGAGGATCGTCCAGCAGGGGGAGTTCAAGGGAGGGGGTGGTAGCTTCCAGCAAAGCGAGGGGGGGGGGGGTAGCTAAGCCTTCCCCTTGGAAAATGGGGGAGGGGGGGGAACTTCCGGAGCGGCATAAAGGGGGGAGGGGGAAGGAGCTTCCAGGGGGGGGGGGGGCAAAAAGGGGGGGAGGGGGTGGGGGGCTTCCGGCAGAGGGGGGCCAAAGGGGAAGGGTACCTAAGCCCCCCCCATTTGGAAAGGGGGGAGGGGGGGGGGGCTTCCAACCGCCGAAAGGGGGGGAGGGGGGGGAAGCTTCCAGGGGGGACCCGCCCCCCTTTGCTCCGTCACTGTGGGCGCGCTCTCTCAGATGTATGCATGTCTGTATGTGTGCATGCATGCATGTATGTATGTATATGCGTATGTACATATGTATGCATGTGTGCATGAATGCATGCATGTAGGTA